TTTCAATGAAACCTGAAAGTTAGTATAAGCCCATAATAAGCTGTGCCCTGCCATGCGGGGCAGACCTGATTAAATTTATGGCCCCAGCCTATTAGCAGAGTTTATGCCATTAGCATAGTTTATGGGTGTTTTTCATTTTGATTTAGATTATTTCTTACTAAACGACTTGTGAATAATTAAGTTTATTTGTAATGACGCATGCCAAAGAACAAACAAAGCCTGGAAGATTATATTTACTTACTCTTTTAATATGTATATATATACATATTGTTGTCGCTGATAATATGCAACAAACATTGTTGTTGACCAAAATACAGGGTGTCCGGTCATAAGTGTTAAATAAAATTTTGGATTAAACTACATGGTAATGGTGACAGAATGTCGCAAATTTGAGGTTCCCAACTTCAACAGTTAGAGAATAACAAATAAATTAAGATTTTTCAAAAATTATTGTAGTTGTTATGAAAAAGGTTATATTACTCTGTTAAAAATGCACTTACTGTCAGTTTCAATGTCATTTTCAGAATCCTCACAAAATTTTAAATAAATATAACACATAATCGTTGGGGTACGTAAAAATATTCTATTTAAAATTCTTCGTTAAACAAATTATTTTTATATCGACGAAAATGTAAATAACATACAGCAATTTATTTCTCGGTTGTTGAGTTCCGGAGAGGTTATCAAATATGACTAAAAACTTCCTTATTTAAAGGGCTTTACAATGATGTATAACAACATTTACCTACTGTCAAATCCATGGTGAATTTTACGCACTATTGTGAAAAATCACGGTCAAGCCAAAACAGATATTGTAAAAAATAATAAAATTTTACTTACTATTTTATGAGCTGACCACTGATGATGAGGGTATGTATAATTTATGATTGACCAGACTACACTTCCATCAAACTAAAGAGTTTTTTTTTTAAGACTTTTGAAAATTTGTAATTAAAAAACACAACACATTAGTAAAAAACATAATACACACTACAATTTAAATATGAAATGATAGTTAACCCATTAAACAAATCAATGACACACTTTGTCCGAAGCACAAATCACAGTTTGGGTGTAAAGTGCCCACCGTTTTCCCGCAAGCAGGCCCTAGCTCTTTTGCGGATTGCGCCAACTGTGACCTCATACGTCAATTTTTCCCTTACTTTCCCAGCAGCCTCAAAGATTCTCTCCCGTAACTCAACTTCAGAGTTTACAACAGTTGAGTAAACTAGACTTTTCATGTAACCCCAAACAAAAAAATCTAACGGGCTCAAGTCTGGAGATCGAGGAGGCCATGTCACACTTCCTCCACGTCCAATCCATGTCGGGTAGTTTTGGGATAGCCACAACCGAACGCTTTCAGTAAAATGTGGTGGAGCACCATCCTGCTGAAATATGATTTCAGCTCTTTGTTGAGGATCAATTTCATCCAACAACTGAGGTAGAGAGTGCTGAAGAAAATCTAGATATAAATCACCGTTCAGATTTCCTTCGAAGATATGAGGACCAATCAACCGATCTCCAATCACACCTGCCCACACGTTGATCCCAAACCTTTTTTGAAAAGAAGCTTCTCTGGAGGCTTTTGGATTTTCATTATTCCAAAGATGCATATTGTGAATATTTATCACACCTTCTCTGGTAAAACGGGATTCGTCAGTCCATAGTATTTTTTTAAGGAAGTGATATTCAACAATATCACGTTGAAGAAGCCAGCGGCAGAACTCCTTTCAAGATTCGAAGTCACGAGGCTCCAATCCTTGGACCTTTGTAAAATGATACGGATGGAAGTTATTGTCCTTCAACACTTTATGTACTTTCCACCGGGACATACTAGTTTCAAGGGCAAGCTGCCTAACACTAGTAGTAGGATTATCCATAACTCTCTGAATTACACCCTCTTCAGCTGCAACATCATGCACAGGTCCTACTTCTTTCTTCTTCTTCTCAACCGATCCTGTTTCCAGCAAACGTTGATGCACTCTAGTAAACACCTGAGTACTGGGGGTGGTGCGATCAGGATACCGATTCTGGTACTCTCTCTGAGCAGCCGACGCATTACCGTTACACAAACCATAAATAAAATGCATTTCAACATACTCCCGAATCGAAAAAGACATAGTTGACCGATCACTGTCCACATGTGACTGATAGATCGTTTTAAAATATGACTACTGGTTCGCTTTGTTTTCTTATCGCTTGGATAAAGTATTGTTATCAGTAAAATACCTGAATCTATTGACTAAATCCATTCAACAAAATAGAAATTCCGGGAGATAATTTAAATCTTATATGAAAATTATACGATAACCGTAACTTTATCACAAACACATTTTACTACTATGTTTCTTTTCTTAGCTGGGTAGTTATAAACAAAGCGTTGCATGGGAGAAAGAAATACAAATTATTTGTTGCCTACACTTAAATGTATTATTCTTCATAATAGATTTTCTTTGCCCTACCATGTTTTTTTCACAATAATGTTCGAATTACATTAGGAAATTTGAAATTCGGTAAAAACTATTATACACCATTGTAAAGCCCTTTAAATAAGGAAGTTTTTAGTCATATTTGATAACCTCGCCGGAACTCAACAACCGAGAAATAAATTGCTGTATGTTATTTACATTTTCGTCGATATAAAAATAATTTGTTTAACGAAGAATTTTAAATAGAATATTTTTACGTACCCCAACGGTTATGTGTTATATTTATTTAAAATTTTGTGAGGATTCTGAAAATGTCATTGAAGTTGACGGTAAGTGCATTTTAAACAGAGTAAAATAACCTTTTTCATAACAACTACAATAATTTTTGAAAAATCATAATTTATTTGTTATTCTCTAACTGTTGAAGTTGGGAACCTCAAATTTGCGACATTCTGTCACCATTACCATGTAGTTTAATGCAAAATTTTATTTAACACTTATGACCGGACACCCTGTATATGTTATTGTTTGTATTGTAGTGTTACCATAAATAATTTTGTTAGAATGTTTGTCGATATCTATGATTTTCTGTTCTTTATTTAAGTTTTATGTAAAAAGCTACTAAAGTCATACTGGTCCTAGATTATGAGGGCAATGAATGTCACACTAGATTCAATACGTATGGGATTTTTTGTTTGTACATAGATTATATTTTTGTTTTAAGTTGCTGACCATACATTTTGTATTGTTTTTCTAACTTACATTTTTAAGCTCATTCTGAAACATTTTTACCTAAGTGATGTAAATTTTTCAACCTTAATTTGCAATTTTGGCCTAAATAATTTGCAAGAAGGCTGATAAACATATTACGTTCCTTTGTAATGACACATACCAAACAAGAAAACAAAGTCTGTATCGCATGTAAATACTGTCTCTAGTAGGCCTAATGTAACTAATGTTGTATATCAATATATATTATTGTCATTTGTTTGTTCATATCTAAGTTTTATTTTTGTTATAACTAAACCAACATAAATTTATTTTGCTTTGCAAACTTACATGTATAAGTTTATTCTGCAAAATGTTTAACTATGTTTATTTTCAACCTCAATTTTCGATGTGTGCCGAGTGAATTTTAAGAGTTAATGGATTTTAAGAGCTACCTAATAAACGTATATGTTTAACGTCTGTGTTGTCTTTATTATTTACCAACATCCGTAATTATAATTTAATTTGTTTTTACATACATCATTAGGACATGAGTAAATTTAAGACAATCAACACAACTTATTATTTGTCTTAAACTCGTTACTCTTAAACTCTTAAACTCTGCCTACTGAGAGCTGTGCACAGTGTGAGGTAGGACCTACCTTTACCCTTGACTTTGAATAGCATCAAGTTTATATTTTTATCTTATCTTATTGGTTTTTTTTAGGTTATAATAATTTGAAAATAGTTTGTAACATTTTAACGTATTTGTGCATAAACTCTTTTACTAAATTAACTCTACCGTGTTTCGGCTTAACCGCGCAGCTGTTGTGTACTACTGTCTACTAGTCGTTCGCAAAATATTCGGCAATTGTTTACTTCTTTTCATAGTCCATAATCGATTGGCACACGTTTCGATCGATGTACAGCTTGTTTCGAATTGAATGCTCTGTAATACAATTTTATAGTAACCTTTCATAAGCATTATTAATCAATTATTACACACAAAGTTGAGTTTGAAACTGATCAAATGACTAGCCTAATGAAATAGCTTGATCAATTAATGTTTAAGGTAATAGAGTTTATAACCTCTGATAATTCTGAACAAATTATTATCCAAATATAGTATTATGAGTGGATGTTATCAAAATGGCACCCATAATGACCCACCGCGCTACCCCCTACCCGCCCGACATCAGTGCATCACTAATTAATTATTTGTCACAAAGTGTTCACCGTTTCATCGGTCGTGGCTTACGTAGTCCCTTGGGCAATTTGGCTTGCTTTAAGTTAGACACCGTTTAGTACTTTAACTTGTACAGACATCCAGTATAGTAGTCTTGACCAATATACTGATAAGTGTAACTTGTGTTGTGCCGTTCTTATAAGTATAATAGACGCCGGGAATTCCGTACTTTTTAGCCAGGAAAACTGGGAAAAATGTGTGAATTTTGTTTATAGATCCTGCTGACAACCCTGTCTCTACTTTTCCACAATATTAATGATGATTATCTTACTATCTTTTCTCATAATGAAGTTCATTTTGAATTTAGTTTCAATTTTAATCAAGGGTTTTTATTAAATCTTAATTAAAAGTTAGTGCCCCTTCCCTTTAAGCGTGTAACTCTTGAAAACTAATCTCTTTAGTCCTTATTATTATTATTTTGAAAACACTTGACAACTAAAATGCTTATATATACTCAACATTTCCTTGCAGTAGTATGTACTTTTGTTGAGTACATGAAACAGATATTATTTTTTATAAATTTTCCTCTTTTATTCTAGATGTAGCATACATCTTGAAAAGATATTGTTGTGTGCATGACCTCCAAACATTGTTTAATATGTGTGTTGTTCATTAAGGAATTTCGTCGCAGCACTGATTGATTTCCCAAAGATGCTAGTTGCTGTGGTAAACGGACCTGCTATTGGGATGGGTTGCACCATTCTTGCACTCTGCGATTTTGTCTACGCCTCAGATGATGTGAGATTATCTTCAATTTTTCTTTAGCCTATTTTAATTTTAATTTGATTGCACAACACAATCTACATTTCAAGATGTCGGACTCAACTTTAGAGACAACCAGCGCGCGAATGTCCTGCCAACACAAAAATAATTATACACTAAACAATGTCTGTATCAATAAGTCAGACATTTAGATTTATTATTTTTATTTTTAGTACAAAATAAATAACCTAAACACGTCAAAATGTTCAGTTTCATCCCTGCATTATACGCATCATTAGAAAAATTATATTCAACCATTAAACTTTAACATCCTCATCGTCGTATGGTTAGGCTTGCTTTATATTGCGCCAAAAGTTGGTCCATATTTTATCTGTACTATCTACCTGATTAAAGAGTTTAGTGAAGTTTTAAGTGCTACTATGACATAATGTATTTATTGAAAAATACTGTTTTAGCACAGTCATCCCTTGACGACAATCGTTTTTGCTCACTAGAGAAAAGACTCTCCTTACAAAAAGTATCTATAGGCCAAAGTGTATGTAGTTTTTTTTTTTTTTAAGTATAACTGCAATTGCTTTTAAAAATAAATACAAAAACTGTCAAATGACTTAGATTAATACTTGTAAGCCTATTTATAAATTAGAGGAAACTTTATTAGATCTCACCATAGTCAAATTCAAACATTTACAGTGTTTTAAAATAATTACTCAGAAACATTTGTGTAATGGAAATCTACAAGTGACTGAGGCCAAGGGTGAGGGAGGGCATGTAAACCAGGCTTTAGAGCAAACTTTCTCTTTTCCTACCCCATGTCCCGTTAGATGGTGGGTGAGGGCTTCACACTATAAACGCTCAGTTCATTCATTCACAGTAGAGAATAGTTTTTGTGCCTTTTAATTACTTTGGGCTAGGTAACTGTTAAACGTGTAATTGATAACAAAAAACAATAACATTTACAGTATCTTTATTGACACTAACATTTTGAAATAAGGCAGTGTACGAGTATTTCATCGTACAAGGTTGGCAACGCTCCTTGCTGTGGGTGCGTCCAGGTTAGCGACTTCCAGAGTTAGCGAATTCCGCCGCGGGATAAAATCGAGTTAGCGGGTTCCGGAGTTAGCCAATTCCTGGCTGGGATGGTTAGTCAGTTCCAGAGTTAGCCAGTTCCGACTCACGGGAGTTAGCGAGTTCCAGAGTTAGCCAATTCCTACGTCTCTGTTATTGTTATGTTTTCCACTCGTTTTGTTGCTTGCCACTGTCATATTTGCCATTTTGTTGCCGTTTCTCTTTTTCGTTTTGCTTATTAACTAATTCATTTTCATTGTTTTCAGTTCACTGCTTTCGTCAACAAAATAAGCTGGCTCCAGACATGCACCACTTCCAAAGCACGACATATTTGCCGTTCGGCGATCTAAATGTCTGGTTATTCGCCGATTAACGAGTAAAACGTCTACACACATGTGTTGTTTTCCTAGCAACTGTTCGTTTCGGGTATGGCAAAAATATTCCTTCACTTTGATGTGTGCAAAAATAGCGGCAATGAACGAGAAAACACGAGCACGAGCATTTGCTGCCACACTACTCCCGATTTGGCGCTTCGTATGGTGCATGTCTGGAGCCGGCTATAGGCATGAAGCTTAGATAAAATCCCTTTTTTTGCAATTCATTAAACTAAATTCTAATTAATTATTTTACTATATAACTAATTTATCATAAGTTATAAATATTTATTCTCGTTATGATTTAACAATATTAACACATTTAATTTTGAACGTATTTCTAAACTGTTTAAGAACCATGCTGTGAATGTTTGAAAGAATAGTTGAGTGTACGTATTTGAGTACTATCGAGAACTAACAAAGAACTAACGATTGGTATATAGATATAGGCATTTATAGTCAGAAAACAGTGTCCACTGGAAATTCTATAGGCCTAGTTGTGAAGTTAGAGTACCCACTTTGTATGTCTCGTAACTTTTTTATTTTTCGAGAACTAATGTAAATATTGGAGAACTACCGAGAACTAATGATGAACTAACGATAGGTATATAGATATAAGCATTTATAGTCAGAAAACTGTGCCCGCTGGAAATTCTATAGGCCTAATTGTGAAGTTAGTGTACCAACATTTTATGTCTCATAACTTTTTTATTTTTCGAGAACTAACATAAATATTGGAGAACTATCAAGGAAAAAGAAATTTACAGTTGACCAAAGCCTATAAAAACAGAGAAAGTTTATGTTTTATTCTATGAATAGTGTTGTTTAAGTATAAGAATGGAACATCTGTGAGTCAACTATTTAATTGATATAAAACATTTTTTTTAGAAATGGCCATTACGATACGTACTTTGATAAATTTCTAAAAACCCATTTTTGATAAATAAAAGTGAATACAGAACATTTTGGGGATTATAATTATTTCTTATTTCCTTGCATCCCCTATGGGTGCCCATGGCTTAAATGTTGTTATAGATCAACTAGTTTCGACCAAACAAAGTAGTCTAGTCATTTTTTGTACAAGATGTCCTGTTGCCTGAAGATGACCACTTTGGTTAGTCAAAACTAGTTACCGGTACTTTGTAGCATAATTTTGGATTGCTTAAGTGTAGGTACAAACACCATTTGTTTAGTAATTAAATGCAATTCAGAGGCCAAAATTCATAAAATAAAATTTATTTGAGCTTAAACAACAGATATCTTTCCTAACCCTTCTGTTGTGGTGGTTTAGTTTAACCAGGCAATTACATTGGCAATACTGATTTGTTTTTAATCTGCAATATCATCATCTTCACATCTTATGCAATTTGTTTCCTTCATTTTTGTATCTTCATCATGGCCGACATTAATAAAAATTAATCAATTTGTACTGCCAATTTGTTAACTAGCTTGTTTTAGCCTATAAGTGTTGTAGCTTACTCTAGGAGTTAAGGTAGTTTAGGGTTAACCTTAACCCTACTTACCTTCCTTGTACAATAAATTTTGTGATTGATTAAATAAAATGTCATTACTGACCAGGACTTTTCTACATGAAATCATGACACTACCCTTGAATACATCTCTGAACCATAAAAAATAATCCTCAAGAGATTAAAAGTTCATACTCTAAGGTCTTTAGTTTTTCAGTTGTTTTTGTATATTTGTTTAGTTTATAGGGATGGGCGAGTAGTGTTTTTTTGAGTCGAGTCGAGTAATTAGCCCTAGTACTCGAGTATCGAGTCGAGTCGAGTAGTTAACGAGAAAATCAACAATTTTATTTGACATATTCCATCTTCATTTTTACGAGCAAAGCATTTCTCAATCCATCAAAAATAGACCTGGTTAAAAACTTTTATACCATATAAAAAACACAATATGTATGTGTATCAAACTTATATTTTGGTGGTTTATTATTAATTGCAAAATATGGAACTAAGTGTTTATTTTAAAATAGGCCTACCGTACTGTAAATGTTTGAATTTGACTAAAGCATGAGGTCTAATAAAGTTTCCTCCAATTTATAAATAGGCTTATATATTTATCTAAGTCATTTGTCAGTTTTTCTATTTATTTGAAATTCCATTAATTGTCTTAGTTAACTCATTAAGTTATAAGTTTTTTTTTTTAATTAGGCACATCTTGGCCTACAAATACTCTTTGTAAGGAAAGTTTTTTTCCTAAGTGAGTAAAACATACTTCCTATAAAATGACATTTTCTCACTAGTTATATATCTTCAAAATTTGTTTTTACTATGAAAAAGTCACCTAGTCTACCTGAAAACACATTCATAAATGAGGATATTTTTGAAATACAAAATAACTAATCAAACAACATTTTTATCACTTTTATTTCTTAACTTATTCCTTGAAAATGTCAACAGTTTTTCACTTATTTTTAATAAAGATTATCACTTATAATTTCTCGAAAGAAGTCTTATGTGTGAGCTATGAAGAGCAGACAAGAGACATACGTCACTGCCATAAAAACTCTTCTCTACTGTGAATGAATGAACTGAGTGTTTATTAGTGTGAAGCCCCGCCCACCGTCTAACGGGACATGGGGGAGGGAAAGAGAAAGTTTGGCAGAATCTGCCCTTGTTCTAAAGCCTGGTTCACATGCCCTCCCTCACCCTAGGCCTCAGTCGCTTGCAGATTTCCATTACACAAGAGTGTTAATTATTTTACAATACTGTAAATGTTTGAATTTGACTATGATGAGATCTAATAAAGTTTCCTCTAATTTATAAATAGGCTTATAAGTATTAATCTAAGTCATTTGTCAGTTTTTGTATTTCTCTTTAAAAGCAATTGCAGTTATACATTAAAAAAAATTACGTACATCGCCGCCTACAGATACTTTTTGTAAGGAGAGTAGGCTATTTTCTCTAGTAAGTAAAAACGATCGAAGTCAAGGAATTAACTGTGCTAAAACAGCACATTGTCAATGTTTACAAAAGTATTTTGACTGAAACCTGAAACCCTGATATTTTTTAAAGACTGCAGAATAAGTCTACGTCTGGAGAAAAGTATGGCGATAGATAGGTTTTACTTTTAGCCTACTAGAAAGATTATGTTTTGGGACTAAAATCTAAAAAAAAAAAAAATGCTTTTAACAAACATTCCATAGTTTTATTTAGTGACAAAAGTGTTTGACTATGTTCCTGATGATACCAAGAGCATGGTTCGGCAGAGTGCATTCACTGTGAACCGGCCTGCCTGGCCCTTATGCACGACGTCACTATAACCTCAGTGTAGGGGTGTCAACAATGGATCGGAACAATCGATGCTTTGAACCTGTCTGTAACCTAGTTGTTTATACTTTAGTACTCATTATTTCTAAACAAACACGTCCTACATATCGGATCTCGAATCACGATATTTTTCGATACCCTTCCCACCCACAATAAGCACATAAAACGATGTCAAAGCAATCGTCATTTGTTCCATTGAAACACGAAAGTCGATTGGCTGACATGGTAGTGCATTGTCGCCTCCTGACCAATGAGAACAGTTGTTACATACTTTTATTGTCAACATTCACAATTCGTTATAACATTACAAAAGTGACATGGACCTAAGGCTTATGGTATTTTTCAATAAATACATTATGTTAGTAGCGCTTAAAACTTCTTTAACTAAACTCTTTAATCAGGTAGATAGTGATAGTACAGATAAAATATGGATCTACTTTTTGGCGCAATATAAAGCAAGCACAACCATACGACGATGATGTTAAAATTTAATGGTTGAATATTATAATTTGTCTAATGATGCGTATAATGCAGGGACGAAACTAAACATTTCGACGTGTTTAGGTTTAGGTTATTTTTTGTACTAAAAATAAAAATAATACATCTAAATATATGACTTATTAATACAGACATTGTTTAGTATAATTAATTTCGTGTTGGCAGGACATTCGCACGCCGGTTGTCTCATGAGTTGAGTCTAACATCTTGAAATGTTGATTGTGTTGTGCAATACTGAAGCTAAACAATGTCACCGGCACCGTCGCTGTTTTGAACTAGATAGTTTCTAAGTTGGCTATGAAAATTGTTAACCGTGATTACAAAACTAACACTGTAGCTATAAAGTAAATAAATGTTAAAATAAAAAATCCATCCCTGTCGGGTGTCTGTATAATCGGAATCGACTTTTGACAATCGAGTCTTGGTACCGATACCAATGTCCAAGTATCGGTGGTATCGATGACGATAATCTACACATCCCTTTTTAGAACTGCATCGTGACATAATCGATGCATCGGGATTTTGATGCATGCTGGATCGAATCGGGATTCGATGCATTGCACTCGCACACCACTACGGAGCCTATCACAACGCTATCACCCACACCCAGTCAGTGTCAGCTGTCACTGTCAATGAAATGGATGACGCAAGCGATGTCTAGGTTGCCGATTATTAGTAGGCCTAGTATGTCAATATTTAAAGGAGTTAAGGGATTAAATAAACCCAAACATTTTCCTTTCTTGTTATTTTGTTGTCAAATATCACTGAAAATAACAAAATCGGCTTGTCTACTACTCGACTTGAGTCACGAGTATCTTTAACTACTCGACTCGACTTTCGAGTATTGCCAACTACTCGAGTAATTACTCGACAGTCGAGTACTCGCCCACCCCTAATAGTTTATTCAGTTGTATTTAATAAAGTTTAAAATCTTCCACAGATAAATCACCTTAATTTACAACATTAGTGCAGACCTACCATATAGTTTCTTGTTTACCATATCTTATGCATTCAAATTTTCTGTTTAATTTTGTTAAACTATAGCCTAAATAACAATAGGCTGTTCTCAAATAAAGAATATATTATTTATAAAAACAACTGAAATATGTAACTATATTTTCATTTTGCTCTATTACTCAAAGTGACAGAAGACAGCAGAAACAGGTGACTGGACGTTGATCGTCTATAGGCTAATGGCTAGATGGATGCTTTAAATGACTTATTGCCCATCTTTATGTGATGATGACAGCAAACAAACCATAACCAACATGGGTGACTGAACTTTATCTGGCTAGGCTATGTTCAAATCATATGTTATTAATTAAATTGGAATAACATGTCTAGAAACATACTACAGTTAGTTCAACAAAAATATATTTGTTGTGATTCCAATGGCCTAGGTAAATGATGAGATGGTTTCAGGTTTATTTCCATACTCCGTTTTCCATGCTGGGCTTGGTGGCTGAAGGCTGCTCAACTTACACATTTCCGAAAGTCTTTGGAGCTGCCAAGGTAAATATAGAGTTCCGTGACATCAGTCACGCTGATCTCTCACTGATTTCCCCACACCCTCCCTCCTAATGATATCTTGTAGCACTATTGTTTGTATTGTCATAGCACTATTGTTTGTATTGTCATAGCACTATTGTTTGTATTGTTTGTAATTATGAGGAGATGGAAGTTTGGGAATGGTTGGAGGGATGGTATTATAATGGTTGTGTGGTAGAAGTAATGACCTGTGGAGCAATTAAATGATGTTGTCACAAAACTATCTAGTGTTATTTCTTCTTGCTGCAGTAATAATTTGTCTTGTAATATATCTGAGTTAGTTTGAGTAGTATAACTTACTGAATAAACAAATGTTGGTATTTACTATATTGTATGACTATGAGTAGTACTATAATTCCTTGTTTTGATCAAACTTCTTGTTTGAAAAGATGAAAAATAGTGGGTTAAAATTACGAAGTGACTACATTTACCAGTGGTATATCAAAACAATTAATTACAGATTTTAAAGTTTTCTTTTGTTCATGTATGTGAAACCTTGATAAATCAAAGCATGTATATATTCAAATTTATAGATTCAACACTTTCAAAATACTTGATACATCAATACCTTTTGTGTCCCTTTAGCTTGAGGTACAATTGAATAGTACCAAAACATGTACAGGACACATTTTTGGTAGGTGTTTCATATTAGTTTATGGGTGGAATAAAAATAAAATACAAACTCCCAATGCAGCAAACCTGCAGACTAAGTGAGTTTCCATTTGCCAGATTTTTAACAGTTTTCAGAATTTTAAATTTAAATTTATGATAAACTGTACATTTAAAATATTTGTAGCCTTTAATTACAACCATATACCAAAATTGTCTAAGCTCTTAAGGTAGCTGTAATGAAAATTCAGCATTTCCATGCTTTAAGGGTAGGTAAAAATAAGAAAAAAACACTGTTTTAAACCCCATAACACGCCGTTCTTATTACTCAATTTTGCTGATTTGGAAAAATTTCATCAAAATAGGACCAAAATTAGGCCTACTCGAGTTATCACACAAATATATACATATATATATATATTCACTTGCAAAAATTGTAATAAGAAGAATAAGAATAATTTATTCCATTGATCTTTTTACAAAGAAATAGGACACATCATATACCGGTACATTACAAAATAATCATCTAAATACAATCAAGTTTCTGATACATCAAAATATTACAAAAAATACAATTAATTATGCATAATAACTTATTTTAATTAAAATTTAACATAAAAATTACACTTGATATGTAAAGGCTAGGATGAAGAGGACACAGCTAACTCACCTGATGAAAGGTTGCAGACGAGTCAAAGAACACATAAAAACACACACATAAGTACTTAATATTTCGCCTCTTTCAGAGGCTTCTTCAGAAGTAGGCCTAGATGGTAACTACCATGAAGAAGCCTCTGAAAGAGGCGAAATATTAAGTATATTATGTGTGTGTTTTTATGTGTTCTTTGACTCGTCTGCAACCTTTCATCAGGTGAGTTAGCTGTGTACTCTCCATCCTATATTTATTTATTTAATCCAAGCTAAATGCTTTTTCCTAAAAACATAACTTGATAAAGGCTGTAACTTAGGCTGTAAAAAGGATTTTGAATGGAATAATATTAAATTAATTAAAATATAAGACTGATAAGCATATACTTTAGTCTTTTTATATACAGGGTGTCCGGTCATAAGTGTTAAATAAAAATTTGCATTAAACTACATGGTAATGGTGACAGAATGACGCACATTTGAGGTTCCCAACTTCAACAGTTAGCGAATAACAAATAAATTAAGATTTTTCAACAATTATTGTAGTTTTTATGAAAAAGGTTATATTACTCTGTTAAAAATGCACTTACCGTCAATTTCAATGTAATTTTCAGAATCCTCGCAAAATTTTAAATAGATATAACACATTATTGTTGGGGTACAATAAAATTTTAAATTTAAATTTCTTCGTTAAACAAATTATTTTTATATCGACGAAAATGTAAATAACATTCAGAGCTTTATTTCTCGGTTGCCGAGTTCCGGTGATGTTATCAAATATTACTAAAAACTTCCTTATTTAAAGGGCTTTACAATGATGTATAACAACTTTTACCTACTGTCATATCCATGGTGAATTTTACGCACTGTTGTGAAAAATCACGGTTAAGCCAAAACAGATATTGTAAAAAATAATGAATTTTACTTACTATTTTATGAGCTGATCACTGATGAATAGGGTTTGTGTAATTTATGATTGACCAGACTTCACTTCCATCAAACTAAGAGTTTTTTTTAGACTTAGGAAAATTTATTATAAACAAAAAACACAATACACACTTTAATTTTAATACGAAAGGATAGTTAACAAATTAAACAAATCAATGACATACTTTGTCCGAAGCACAACTTTTAAGGTGGAATCACAGTTTGGGTGTACAGTGCCCTATGTTTTCCCGCAAGCAGGCCCTAGCTCGCTTGCGAATCGCGCAAACTGTGACCTCATACGTCAATTTTTCCCTTACTTCCCCAGCAGCCTCAAAGATTATCTCCCGTAACTCAACTTCAGAGTTTACAACAGTTAAGTAAACTCTAGTAAACACCTGAGTACTGGGGGTGGTGCGATCAGGATACCGATTCTGGTACTCTCTCTGAACAGCGACGCATTACAGTTACACAAACCATAAATAAAATGCATTTCAACATACTCCCGAATCGAAAAAGACATAGTTGACCGATCACTGTCCACATGTGACTGATAGATTTTTTTAAATATGACTACGCTTTGTTTTTTTATCGCTTAGATAAAGTATTGTTATCAGTAAAATACCTGAATCTATTGACTAAGACCATTCAACAAAATAGAAATTCCGGGAGTTAACTGAAATCTTATCTGAAATATGAAAAATATACGATAACCGTAACTTTATCACAAACGAATTTTACTACTATATGTTTCTTTATTTAGCTTGATAGTTATAAACAAAGCTTTGCATGCGAGAAAAAAATACAAATTATTCATTGCCTGCACTTAAATGTATTATTCTTCACAATAGCTTTTCTTTGCCCTACCTTGTTTTTTCACAATAAAGATTGAATTACGTTAGGGAATTTGAAATTAGGTAAAAACTATTATACACCATTGTAAAGCCCTTTAAATAAGGAAGTTTTTAGTAATATTTGATAAACTTAGCGGAACTCGGTAACCAAGAAATAAATTGATGAATATTATTTAAATTTTCGTCGATATTAAAAATAATTTGTTTAACGAAGAAATTTAAATAGAATATTTTTTCATACCCAAACAATTATGTGCTATATCTATTTAAAATTTTGTGAGGATTCTGAAAATGACATTTAAATTAACAATTAGTGCATTTGTAACAGAGTAATATAAACTTTTTCATATTAACTACAATAATTTTTGAAAAATCTTAATTTATTTGTTATTCTCTAACGGTTGAAGTTGGGAACCTCAAATGTGCGTCATTATGTCGCCATTACCATGTTGTTTGATGCAAAATTTTATTTAACACTTATGACCGGACACCCTGTATATAAAACACTTCACGTGCAGTTACTTAAAGTTTCTTTCTTAATAAGCATTAGCTTCAACACAGGTTTCCAATTATAAATTATAACTAAATTCAATAATTCTCATGTCCAAAAAAAGTAACAAAATAAGTAAGTTTGGATGGCATATGACCAATAAGTTTTTTCCCAATAACTTAGAATATTTACATGTATCTAAAAAAGTAATGATTATTATATAAGATACAAACGTTGTGAAATTTACAGTTAGAGTAACTGAATGTATTTACCACTCTCTAGGTTATAAAAGTTACATGTTTATCTATACATTTAAAAATATTAGAGGATGAGAAGAATTATTTAATATCTATTTACAGGCAGCCAGACTTCTTTACTTGAGTGAAAGCATGTCAGTACAGGAAGCAGCCCACCACGGATTTGTCACATGTGTTTTCCCTAAAGAAGAAATGGAAGAGCATGTACAGCAGAAATTGAACCATTTAGTTTCTCTTCCAATTGAGGTAACTAATTTTCATTTGATTCTACTTGTACCTACAGTATCCAAAACAAAACAACGGGCGACAGTAGAACTTAGAGACCCATAGTTTGGACCAGAATAAAATAAGCTGCAGCACACACACAGAATTGTGTTTGCAGAATGCTTCTACAAAGATTGTGTGATAGAAAATCTCGATTTCGCCATGATCTTGGGAAACGATGATGATACCTCCGCGGCTATGGGAGATGTTCTTTATTGGGTCGCAAACACAAGATACTTCTATAATCACGGGAGATGTTCAAGATTTTGTTGCGACTGAGGAAGATGTTCATGATCTTAAATTAAATACTAATTTTGATAAGTAATATTTTAAAAGTTACAAAAACAAATAAAACTATGGGATATTGTGGAATCTCTAAAATGTTCTATTAATTTTTATTTGTAGCGATTGGTGCTAATTTGAAACAATTGGTTGGGGTTTGTGTTGGGGGTTGTTAACTGATTGAAACTGGTGGGGTGTGTCTGTGGAATAATAGAAAGGTTGGGTGAATAGATGAGGTTGAGACATGGAAATGTTTAATGAAATAATTGTATGATTGAGGAATTACTCGGATTGACAGCAGAGAATAATTGAAAAATTTAGAACCATGTGAATTTGTGACTTTGTTTCAACAAGCTGAATGCCGGTTCCTCTTAACCCTTCCCACTCAAATTATTTTGCACAGCTGTTCCCTCACACTTGTGTTTAATTTAAAGGAAAATGGCATGTTTTTGGTGTATTTTTATATCTAATATTAGTTATTTAATAAGGTTGAGCTATTGATTCTTGTTCAGCATAAAATATTACACAATATAAACATAAAAATATAATTTTAGTTTTAACCCTTAGAGTGCCAACGTCAGGGGAACCGGACGTTTTTAAAACGAGCCAAAAGTGCCGACGTCCGGCCGACCGGACGTTTTTAGAACGAGCCAAAAGTGCCAACGTCCGGCTGACCGGACGTTTCGTAATGATCGAACAGTTGTCATAACAACCGAATGGATACTCGGATTCTTTTAACCCATATATTAACATTGAGTCGAAAGTTACTAGATGCGATACATCGATTTTCGTTGGTCGAAATATCGAAAATTCGATTTTTACGAAATTTTAACCTAAAAATCGCCAGATCGCGCTCGGCATTTTTTGAGCGTTACTTTTATTCCTCGCCTGGCACTCTAAGGGTTAAACTTTTATTTTTGGTATAGTAATAAATAAACAAAAACAAAATAAATTTTTACAAAATCTATATATTTAGGCAAAATAAAAATACAAAACCGTTTATTTAGAGTACCTATTGAAAATATATTATTTACATTCCCTATGTAAAAACAAACAAAAACTACTGTACATAAACATTTACTTGTACAGTCTAACCTCGGTATAATGAATCTGAAGGGACCGAACTGAATATACGTTATATCAAGGATTTCACTAAAACTAGGTTCGTTATATTGAGGTAAGCTTTGCAGGAATTTCGCTAAGTCGAGGTTCAGAACCAGCATCAGTCAATATAGGTCGGGATTTGACCTCATTAAAACACAATTAAAGTAGCGTATGCGTACCTGGTTCTAGTATAAAAGACAATGACTAATGGTTAGTGCAGCAATGGTATAATAATGGTTAGTACAGTTCTGAAATACAAACAAATGAAAGGGTGTTAGTTAGTAAAGAAGCCAACAAAGTATTAAAATCACTCTAATAAATCAACTATTTACTCTTACTTCCCTAAATCAAATCTCACAGCTGAATTGCTGCTACAGTAATTACGATAAACATTGACTACAAACTAATCACCACACATTATATTTAGGTAACACCGTGTTCTCACGGACCTACGTGATAAACAAAACAAACAAAACACACGAATATGAAAAGCCACCTTGCGTAACCGGAACCGATTGAACTTGAATATATTTAAACAAAGAAATCAAACAACACAAATAAAACAGAAGGGATTATAAACGGGCAGATCTCGTTTTGACCGTTACTTCTTCAAACTCAGGTCTCTCAAATATGTATAGAACGAAATTCAGATATTCCACAAATCAATGCTGATCGTTATATATTTACAAAACTATTTGAACAAAACAGATAACACTCTATGTTATAGTAGAACGATATTTAAGAATAATCACAAATCTAAATATATCGATCTCTGTTAATTATTCGATTAAATTTAAGACTAAACTTCCCGCGGACGTTTGACTTAAATAGCGTAATTGATTAACAGTGAATAAACGATAGGCGTAATAAAAGCGATAGCGAGTGAGGTTGAGTTATCCTAGGCGCCCTAGGTACAATGGCGGCGAATGTGGGCCACTTACTTGGCGTGAGCGAGAGTGTAGGGTCGGGCGTCCTTCTGCCTAATTGCTCAGGCGACTGCTACTGCTGACTTTCGACTCTCACCGACCCCGACTCACTGTCTTGGCGAGTGCCGCGCGCACACATCCAGTGCTGTGGCTGGGGTCCCTGTGCAGGCGCGGGCGACTGATGCGCGGCCCGGTAGTACGGCGGTGAACCACAAGATCAGCTGTTTATGAACTTGTGTCATCTACTAATTTGTTATGTTTACATTTTGGAACTTAACTTCGGTGAATTGGCAAGGCGATTCTGCTAGTAAGGGTTTAGTTTGATTATAAATATTCACAAATTTTATGAACCCTTACAATATGAACATTTATAACAAAGCTCCTCTTGTTGATTTTTATATTTTCCTTTTTTTCAGTCGCTGATTCAAACTAAGAAGCTTATCAGAAAGTGGGAAAATACAAATTTACATTGTGCAAATGACGAAGAAGTAGAAGCTCTTATTGAGAGATTCAACTCCGATGACTTCTTTAGTGCCTTCGCCAAAACAACCAAGATCAAAAACAAATTGTAAGTGGTTTTAACACTGAAAAAAACAAAAAAAGACTGTTACTGTATTACATCACATGCTATTGTGTTACATTACACATTTTTCAATGTATTGTATTCCAGGTGAATAAATATATTTTTATAACATACCTAGATGAATATTTAAAATGTTAGTTGTTGTTGTCTATTCAAGATGACAAATTATGTAATTTTTGTATTCTTTTGTATTGTACAAGGGTTATTAATTAAGTAATTTAAGGTATTTGCGTTTAGCTCCGTAGTTTGAACATACGACGCAACGAGGCGGCTAGCCTCATTAGTGAACGGTATGGCGTCTTTAACAGCTCTGTAGCTGGCAGGTACGCTTTGCTGTGTGTTTCGAAAATTCTTAAATTATAAATCTCCCACCGCATGTGAGATAAGGTCAGTGATAAGGGTTTTGATTGGGCTAGTGAGTGTAAAAGTGGCTGGTGAATTTTTTTCTTTGTAATCTGTTGAGAGTAGTCTAGTACCCACCAAAAACACAATTCCTTCTGAAATGGACATTTTCAGTCAGTTTAAAACTCTCTTATCCATTTCTGCACTTTACCCTCTATCCACTCTATTGCAGTAGGACCATAAATATGGGGTAGTGTTATTTTATCCCCCTGGAATTTTACCCCCTGAGCAGAACTGACGGCACAAACTAGGGGTGAAATTACACCCGTGAACAAACTTAAGAGCACTCAGATGACTACATCTTAGTGACGTCATCTCTGCTCATGGGGTAAAATTCCAGGGGGATAAAATTCTGGCGACCCATGAATATATCTGGCTATGAATGACTGCAGTCAATATGTTTCTAGCAATCAAAAAACATATCACTGACCTTATCTCTCATGTGACAGGAGATTTAAGAGATAATTCTAGACACACAGCAAAGTGTACATGTCAGCTACAGAGCTGCAAATGGTGCCGTAAGGGGCGAGGAGCCTCACTGCGGTGTGCGGACTAAGAAACCCGTACAAACGACCCTTGCTTAAAAACAACCCTAGCATGTATCTTTTTGACAGAACTATTATTTTAAGTTTGACGATGTTCATTACAAAATATGTGTGCTTGTTTGAAGGAGTAAAGTGTTTGTCTATTGTTAATTGCTCAAAAGGAGCTGGACTGACTTAGGTGAAAGACTGATTTTACTATCTCATTAATAGAAGAAACGATACAATGAAATTGGGTAACTCTTGAAACTTCCTAATCCGTGTTGGGTGGCGAAACTGACTAAGCGTCCCACTGCAAGATTACCTCATCCCGTAGCCCACTAACTTGATTTTTTCCCACAGCAGAATTGGTTAACTCTGGAACCTGCCAATGGTTCGGGAGGTTGCAAACGTTGTAAGAAGATGATATTCTTATTATTTCTTATTATGTTATCTTTTTTACAAGTACTACTCTAAATGGAAAAATTTTGAAAGGAAATTTATATACAATGTTAATTAATAACTGTAGTTGTAAAATTAAGATTCTCTCTGTAAAATTGGTACCTTTTTTAATTAAATAGTGTAATTGCTTTTTGACATTAAAACAATCAATTAATTAAGATCTCTAGCTTAAGTGCCCACCTAGCACTTTGGTGATCTCTAGCTTTTGTTAATAGGGACAAGTATAATTTAAACTAGGAACATTAAGCTAAAACTTTAAATAAATCAAATATTTTGAAGTCCTCTAAAATTGTCCATGAATATTATGATAGTTCCATTTTTACTATGAAAAATATAAAAAAAAAAAATATATATATATACCTATATATTTTGAAAAATATATAAATTTCATAACATTTTTTAAAGAAATATTAAATAACAGAGGACAACCTATAAAGCATTATAGTGCCTTTTTGGTAATTAAAACTTACAAGTTTTCATATCTAAAGACATTTTAAAATTAATCTTATCAACTCATAACTTTCCAACATTTTAGATTTTTTATTGGAAGTTTTATTTCAAATTATTGATTTTTTTTTACCAGGATTAACTACCAAATACAATTACTGCTTTACAATTTGATTACTATGGTTTTATATTTTACCAGTATGTATACAGATTTGAATTCATTTGTAGAGTGTAAGGCTTAAGATGCAATAATGTTACATTTTGTTACAGTAAAGAATCCCAAACATTTGTAAACATTAAAATAGGTTTTGATTACAATTAAAAAAAAAAAAAAAATTTTCTATGATTAAAAAATATGATTAAAAGTAGCCTATAGCTTATTATTTTTGTTCTAAAGTGTAACCCCGAAGTTGGTTTTTAGTAAGAAATACCTATAAAGTTTGTTGCACAAACATCAAAAACTATACTGGATTGATACCAATAGAGGTATGATACTTAGGTATCATGCATGCAACATGCAACATAGGTCAATCAATATTCTTTGTGTAAAGCTCCCATTGAACGGCGTGCGAGGCTTCCCATTGGTAGGTTAGGCAGTTCCGCCAAGGGACTTAGTTAGCCAATTCTGCGTACTCAAAAACATCACAAAACTTAAACTTTCAAAGTCGATGTAGCGATCAGTTTTACGACCATTCCTATTGTTGTGTTATATGGAGGTATGCAGATACAGTTACCAAGCATAAACTGTTAATCCTAAAACATTTTGGACCAAATAACCTTCATCAATACTTTATATTTACTATAGTATATTTACTATATTTAGCAATTCCAAGATAAGTCTGGGAACTTATTATCGAGCTTGTGCATTTTGATTAGGTTGTAGTCAACAATATGGTCTTAAATATTGTTTAACTTTTAAGTTTGTTAACTTAACATATTGACAACTGTATACAGTACTTGTTACATGTGTAACAACTGATATGCTAAAAGATAGTACAAATATTGCACAAATGCCAATGTTAGTTTACTCTATTCATGTAAACTAGATTACATGTTGCACATGTACAGATATGAATTCAAGAGTTATACAGCAATAAATATTAGCGTTTGTTGGATTGTACTGTATTATGATAAGTTTGTTTGTTCAAATAAATTAATAACGCTTATAAGCCTTTTTAATTTAACTTAAAACCCAGTATTCTTGATACTATTCATAACCCATCTCGCCTCAAAGACACAATTTTGACTAAAAACTACTAGTGGTGGTTCTAGGACTTTGTCAATGGGGAGAGGGGACTTTATAAAGCCATTTTTAACGGCTATAACTGTGTCCATAAACCTCCGCTACGTTGTACAAAATGTATTTTGCCAGGATGTGATGGGGAGCTCTACCCTCCCCTCCCCACCCAAAGGGTAGGAACCGCAACTGAAAATGTTGGTTTACCTTTTTAAACAGCTGCCAATACCAATAAACAAGATTCTTCTGGGAATTTATCAGCTTAGTTATTGCTATTTGAAGCGGTAAAATTATAAACTTTTACCACTCCTCCTAAAACTATGTTGTTAGTGGGGTTGTATAGTTGCATATAGTGGCAGAATATTTCAGTTCTGGCGGGGAGGCTGCAATTTAACCAAGTTTCTGAACCTAAAACCGTCCAGACCCCAATTTTTAAGGACCTCGGTCGTCCGTAATGACGTCATCAAGATGGTGGCCATAAGAGGATACTAGGTCGCCATGAATTGGCTATAATGACCGAATGCCTGAACCGATTTTTATGAAATTTTGCACTCAAGTACTTCAATACATTATCTCGGCCCAGGTTGACAATGGTCGAGCTTGATCAAGTCGTTACAAAATGGCGGCCGTTAAAAGCTAAAATTTAAAAAAATCTTTCAGTGTTTTGTGTTCTCAACTCCCTCCAGAGATCTGCAGCAACCTATTCACTTTCCTTGCAATCAAAGGTTGCATTACCGTCTCTGCATTTCATGGTATATGCACAATACCCCCACCACAGCAAACCTGCAGATTAAGTGGTTTTCTATTTCCCTGATTTGATTTTCAATCAAATCTAAATATTAGGTTTCATGAGTACCTAGGTTTGCTGCTACAGGGAGATTAATAAAGTGAGTTTTTATTAATATATTAATAGCTTAGTTTAAAATAAATAAATTTGCCAAATTTCATTGAAATTTAATCATTAACAAGCAAACTACAACAGTTTATGTACTCTCTGTAACCAATTACCTTATAATACCCCGCAGCAAACCTGCAGACTAAACAAATTTGCATCTGCCTGATTGGATTTACTCTAAAATATCTCCTTAAAAATATCACATTTATTCCCCATTTAAATAGTATTTGTTTAACGAGTTCTTAGGTTTGCTGCATCAGGGAGGGTAGAAAAGTGTTTATTTATTAAATGTAATAGTTAAGTATTAAATGAATACATTTTCCAAATTTGATCAAAATATGTTCATAAACAAGCAAAATACAACAGTTTACTTATTCTCCATAAGAATAACATGGGAATTTTAAATTAAAAAACTGTTTTTATTTTCTCGGTAACCGTTAGGCACCTAATGTCACTTCAATATACTAAATAATTTGTTTTTTATGCTCCACAATATGGTTTGGAAAGAAATTGCTAAATCTTATGTTTTTTGGGTCCAAAATGGGAAAACCCAATTTTTACCCCATTAATAGTTCCCATAGTCCCATAGTTCCCCTACTGTTCCTGTCGGTCATTATAGCTAATTCATGGCGACCCAGCATCCTCTTACGGCCGCCATCTTGATGACGTCATTACGGACGACCGAGGTCCTTATAAATTGGGTCTGGGCGGTTTTAGGTTCAGAAACTTGTATACTATAACCACCTAAAATTGCAGCCTCCCCGCCAGAACTGAAATATTTTCCTGCTACCCAACCCGACTATGTGGTTAAATGAGAAATCTAAAATCTAAGTGAGTACCACAGAATAGCTCTATTTCAGTACAATATTTAGTGTGTTGGTCATTTTTAGAATGGTATTGTGATATCTGAGCTGAGAGTTTTTCACAAACCTATTATTGTCTGTCAAGAGACTAGCTCCTGGAAAACTACCTATTTACCTTTTTTCTTTGTGTTTCATTGTTGAGTCATTCAAACAGACTTTTCAGTTAGTCACTGGCTTTTAGTGACATACAAATAAACACTGGCTTAATGTAATTCTTAAATAATCTATTCTTTGTTTCCTCACTGAACATTTTTACTTTTCAAACTTTCACCTTTAAAAAATAAAATACCTCCGCCACAGCAAACCTGCAGACTTAGGGAATTTCCAGTTACCTGATTGGATTTACACTAAAATTTCTCCTAAGTAATATCACATTTATTCCCTATTTAAATAGAATTATTTTAACGAGTACTTAGGTTTGCTGCAACTGGGAGGGTAAAAAAGAATTTTTTGCTGTATAATGTTGATACTGTACTGTAGTTTAGTAAGAAATGGATGTATTTTCCAAATTTTATCAAAATATGTTCATAAACAAGCAAACTACAACAGTTGACTTATTCTCCATAAGAATAACATGGGAATTTTCTCTGTAACCATTAGGCGCATGATAACGGTTCAATATACCTATAATCCACTTGCTAGGGGGGTTCCCGTGTGCATTTTATGTATAGAAAAACACCCTAAGGGATCATGTAGGTACTATGTGGGTTATCATTTTTCACGTGGGTGCCAGCTTGGCAGAGTGGGCATAACCTCAGAATCCGCCATTTTAAAAATGTCGGCGGCATTCATTATATGAAACTCATCGGGAGCTTATATCTCGAAAACAGTAAAATATAGCGAGTTACTTTTATTACAGTAAATGTTGCTTACACAATATGGAACAACTTTTGTATTTACAAAAATGCCCTAAATATAACTATTTAGGAGTAGTTGAGCAATTTATGCTAATTTAACCTATACATTTTTACTATGTTTGAAAAAAAATTCTAATATCTTAAAGAAGCTGTTCTTTTTAATTTGGCACATAGCACTAATTGCTCTTTACATCTAAGGTCTAAATATCCCCCGCAAATATCCCGCCGCAGCAAACTTGCAGTATCAGCAAACATTTACCTGGCTGCATTTCTACTAAAATATTAAAATTGTCATATTTAACCTATAAATTTTATCTCTGTTGCCAAACAAATCTAATAATCATAAAAAAGCTGTTATTTTGTAATTTGGCACATAGCTCTAATTTTTCTTCGCATTTAAGGTAAAAAACTTGCAAAAAGCATTCGAGAAGCTTCTGACAGATATATAAGTTATTAAAATAATATAAAATACTTTAAAATTAATTTTTTGTTATTACATGACGCATAAAAATAAATATAGACCTTTCTATATAATGAATTTTTATCATTAGAAATAATAATAAATCTACGGATGTAACAGAAATTATTATTATAATTCATAACATTTATTATTAAAACGGCGATGGAGCAGGAACGGGACCGGCGGCAAAGTTGGCGAATCGGCCAAGCATTGACGTCTCGTTAACACAACCAGTACCTTGACATTGTCCTTGGCACTAGGCTGCTTCGGACTGATTGTATTGATATTGAACTAGTGTCGTGGATCATACAATTTGAGCGCAGTTATTGGATCAAAATTATAAGCCTTTTGGGCTTGGAGGAATTAGATCTGTTCCCTTTTATAGTCATCAGAAAAATGAAACTGTTCACAATATACTTGTGTGCATTGCGGCAGTCAACTACAGGAACACTTCTACATTTTAAAAAGGGTGACACGGTATGCCAGCTAGTTTCGTACACATGTGCAGCTTTGATTGGGACAGGTTTTGCAGTTGCAGCCTTCTAATAGATCGCACTTGGGCAAAGCTGGAAATCAAATTTTAACCAAAAACCAACAAAGAGTAACCACCATCACTGTATCCATAACTCAAAGGATCGAGTTGAAAAACGTGTTCTTCCAAGCAATGGATTTGGATGTATGTACAATAAAAAGCACGTAAGATATGCTGTCTAGTAGCTCTACTAGACAGAATTTCTTCACGAGCAACGGATGCAGTTCTTTAAGAGTATTCGTTGTACAGTGACAGTGTACATCCAGTGTCTCACATCATTCATAGTTTCACACTGAGTATCCTTTTTTTTAAATGTGAACTAGATACTTCTCTATGTTTTTCAAACTTTATTCTATCTCTTCCTCCCCATCTTTTGCAAAGTCCATTAGCAAAGTACTTGGATTACATTTTAGGGTAGCACGCTTTGTTCAAAATTTGCTGGCAAAGTCACAGCCCGTTAAAATATGGAGTGCTGAGAGAACTGAGCAAAGGTTACTTCCAAGCCTGTTTGCTATAATGTGAACTAATACATATCATGAAGTCCTGGCTGAACCAAGTCGCATCCACAATTCCTGCAAACCTTCCGAAGAGAATCCAACAATCCATTCATCAAGTGTAAAACCAACATTACGACATCTGTATCCAAAGACAGAACTACGACTTAATTTGATAAATCGAGCAAAAATGATCCAATTTTAATGAAATTTATCACAAACGTGTAAATCTACGTTTTCAGACGAGTTCGGACTATTAAACCAGCACGATCGGACTATGGGAACGGGGGTTTATGGGGACTTTTATGGGATAAAAGTAGATTTTTCTGATTTTCGACCCTAAAAACACGAAACTTTATAATGAACCAAACCATTTTGTAGAGCTCAAAAAAAATGATTTTCTATATTGAAGCGTTGTTGTATGCCCAAAAGTTACGGAGATAATAAAAAAAAATTAAATTTAAAACTCCCATGTTATTCTTATGGCGAATAAATAAACTGTTTTCGTTTGCTTGTTTATGGATATATTATAATCAAATTTGAAAATGTTGTTTCATTCATACTAAGCTATCAACATTTCAATAAAAAAAAAAATAAATTAATAAACACCTGAATACCTTCCCTGAAGCTGCAAACTTAAGTACTCATTACAAATCAATGTCATTTAAATAGGAAATCAATCCGTCAATTTTAATATTTTAGTAGAAATGCAGCCAGGTAAATGTTTGCTGATTCTGCAAGTTTGCTGCGGCGGGGATATTTAGACCTTAGATGTAAAGAGCAATTAGTGCTATGTGCCAAATTAAAAAGAACAGCTTCTTTAAGATATTA